ATTTTTTTTTTTTCAAATGGTAACAAACGTGAGACCAAACATAAAACCTGTAAGGCCTAATTCTGAAGACCAATAGGGATAGGATTTGGATTCACCCAAAGATCAATTTTGCAACTGTCGACACCCACCTAGGGTACCAAACCAGAGTCAATGCATAGCCAATAATCCTAGAAGCATCATCAAAGCCGCCAATAATAGGGTAGAGCTTTCTAATCCATCCCTCATTGTACAAGCAGTGGGCTGAGAGAAGCTATAGTGTCAGTGTGCATGGGCTGTGGTAGGTAGTGGATCGGGACAACTGACACTCTACATAAGGAGATATTAGGGTCAGTTACCAAACTGTGCTTAATTTATGTGAATTGCACTGATGGGGTACATTGTCTTATGCCCCCCCATTTTCTTAACCTTAAAGTCCTTTTTAGGACAACTAAGTGTCAGCAACAAGTTTGATTGCTGGCTTCAAGGAATTCACCTCACTCTCTGCCCTCTTTTGAGTTTTCTTGCTGTTGGTCCATCCATAAGAAAGCTGACTTTTTTCTAGCAAGAGTTTTCTTTAAAATAAACCAAAAAAAGTAATGTTGCCAGCTAAGGGTCATAGCACAGTATTCCGATACTTAGCAATGTTATATGTGACAGAGTTGATGCTGCTGACAATTGGTCTTAGAGGGGAACCTTGCTTGTGTATCTCAGGGAGTCTTTGCAGGTGTGGTGTAGCTTCCCTGGGATAGGGACTGTGATACTAGACCCAATCCAAGGCTTTTACCTTCGCCAGCTGTTGTAAACAGTGTATCACCTTTTTCTTTTACCATCTAGTGGGGTTCCCCTTTGGTGACTCATAGGTGTTGGCATCAGTGAGGAGAGTGGTGACCTCAGAATGGTAATCAGATGTATTCATGACCACGGGCCATCTCCTCTTGTCTGCTGGCAGGATGGTAACACTCAAATCCCTACTAAGCTATAAGTAGCTACCACTAACTACACTATGACCTGAATAAATGAGAAACTTATACATATGTAAACCTTTATTAACTCTTAGATAACCACAATCGGCCCTAATTAATTCCTTCTTCCTCTTAGCTGTTATTTTTCTGCTGATTTTCTTTTTTTAAACTTCTATTTTTTCAAACATTAATATTTGACCATTTTTTAAAAATATATTTTGTTTTTATCAATTTCTTCTTCTTTAATTATTTTAGTGTCACATAAAAAAAATGTGAAATATTTATTTGGTTTGCAAAAAAAACAAACTTCTATATGATTTGCAAAACAATATTAAAATAAAAGGGAGATTTTTACGGCTTAAAGTGGAACTTCAGGAGAATGATCTTTTACGGAAACCCATATTGCTGAGTTTGGCTCCGTGTAAGTATCCATATCTGATATGTGGAGGGTTACTGAGCAACAGACAATCACTGTAGTAGTCCGCACTACATACAGTTATAGCTATGATCTTCTAGCTGCATTGACTTCCCCTCCATACTCGCTTTGCACTGTCACCATTTAGATCTCCATCATGCTAAATTCAGAAACACATTAAAGTGTTGGGAAACTATGGGGGTCAGTGTTTTTCCCCATAGTTCTCCTTAGGGTAACGGGAGGACACAAACTAGCCTCCTCCCGTCACCCTAGGCTCAGTATACCGCGAGCTACAGCTCACGGTATACTGAGACGCCGCAGCCGGAGCGGATCCGGACATTGATGTCGAGATCCACCCAGCTGCGTGAGTGACAGCTGGCTCTGCCTATCTAGAGGCAGAGCCAGCTGTACCCGCCCCCTCCCGCGTCGGTTCCGCCAGTCAGCGCTAGCAGATTGGAGCGGGGAGAGGGGAATCCAGCCCCTCCCCTGTCATGGCAGAGAGCCGTGACAGGATCGAGAGGTGAGCGATCACCGGTATATGTTCGCTCACCTCCCGATCTACTGAGCCGACCGGTGACAGTCTCATGTTAACAGGCGGGCTAGAACTAGGAGGTGAGTGAAAAGCACCCCCTCATAGTTCTCCTTTAAAGCACAAAGAGCATAGGGAAAAGCACCCCCATTAGGTGAATCATAAACTGACTAAGGCTTATTCTCATCATCATCATCATCATCATCTCATTTTTCCTTTATACTTTTTTTTCCAGAATAATAACCCCAATAATTTGATTTGGGGTGGATAAATGGTTTGGTGTAGTAAAACACTTTTCCTATGTAACATCTATTTTATAAAGTGGTCGGCACATCGGAACTAAATGACAGACAAATGAGAAGAAAAAAATGGACAGTGGGATTTGGTTCCAAAAGAGTGACAGTCCCTTAAAAAGTGTGACTGTTGGGAGCTGTGCACTCAAACTGGGAGAGGGACAGTACATTGTGCCATCATCCAATCACAGGCTGTAGGCCTGGAGGTGACCGAGCTGTATTGCAGTTTGGGCTCTACTATTTGGCACGCTATAAAAATCTCTGGACTGGTTGGACAGAAACAAAAATCCTTTTGCAGTTTCACTGCTTGCCCAGAGTCCAAGTGTAAAGTGCTTGGTGCACTGGTTGATTTTCATAGGAATGATCATACGAAAAATAAGGCCAGAGCATTTCATAATGCCATCAGAAACATGACAAATGCTGTTCAAAATGTTTAAGAAATGGATGGAGTTTTCCCAACAAGAACCGCATTCCCTGTTAGAACATTGCAAAACAAAACTTTCCACCCTGCTTCAATTTTTTTTGTCACTATGGTTGAAAACAATCATCAATTTGGCCTCATTAACTATTAGAAAATCAAAAGAATAGCCAGAGAACATTTTTAAACAAAATTTGTGTAGACAAAGGAAAAGCAATTTTATCAAATTTCTTTCACTCTCGTTAGCTCCATATGATACATAATTGTGCTGATGAAGAATGTCATTGTAGTATTATTGCACCACAGTGTCTTATTAATGACACACCAAAAACAATTAAACAAACCAAATGAGTATAATGCACCTGCATCACATATTTTGCATCCACGAGTCCTCAAAGAGTTAAGATAATTTAATTATAATCCAATATTTATCATATTTAGAGGTTTTTCTACTAGCTGGCATAGTGCTAGTAGCCTGGGGCACAGTAAATATGGTACTTGTCTCAAAGCAATTAAACATGATTAAATATTTTGGCCTTCATGTTGTAGGGATTCATAGTGGGGCACATACATACTGTATGATTAAAGAAGCAGGATTGATTTTTTATTTTTGCTGACTGTGTAAACTGAAAAAAGGCGGTAAACGGAATATAAGATGGGGAGCTATGTAATGGAATGCAGCCCTTGCAGCTCTCCCTAAATTATAATAAGACATAGGTGCTGTGGGTGGTGGGCAACTGCATGGTAAATGGGGTTCTGTGTGGATCAATGTTACAATACATACTGGTGCACTCAATATATACAGGAGGACTTGTAATAATAGATACAGAGACTCAATAAGGTTGAATGATTTTGCTCCCAAGTACATACTCCCATTAGTACATTCTAATCTTCAGCATGCAGAACAGTTCTGGGCACCAGTTCACATCAAAGACTATTTGGAAAGTCTAAAAATGTATTGAATTTGAGATGAGAATGTGATATGGTGACTTTAGGAAATTAAAGGAGAACTATGAAGTGAGTGAAAATCACTCATCCTCATTGTTGGAGCCGACGCCTGACAATGAAACTGTCACAAGTCGGCTCAATAGATCGGAAAGTGAGCGAACACATACCGTCACTCGCTCACTTCTCGATCATCTCCCTGCAGAGAGCAGTGACTGTCAGTCACGGCTCGCTGCAGGGATCCCCCTCCCCTCCCTGCTCCGATCCTCCAGCGCTGACTGGCGGGAACGGACGGGGGAGGGGGCAGGTACAGCTGGCTTTGCCTCTAAATAGGCAGAGCCAGCTGTCACTCATGCAGCTGGGTGGATCTCAAAAGTAATGTCGGGATCCGTCCCGGCTGTGGCGGTCTCAGTATACCGCAAGCTATAGCTCGCGGTATACTGAACTTTGGGTCACGGGAGGACGCTAGTATATGTCCTCCTGTGACCCTTAAGAGAACTATGGGGAAAAACACTTACCCCATAGTTCTCTTTTAAGGACCTGTAAAAAATAAATGGTGGAAAGCTGAACACTTAGAGGTAAAATCTGTGGCCCTAAAACAAGAGTAAACCACCAATCTCATCAAAGTGTGAGTACCTCCGGTAACTTCTATAATGCAACCACTAGACAACTTCTGTGGTCACTGATACTGGCTTGCAACCTTAAGCCTCATGTGATGTGATGAGTGTAGACACTAGTTTTTAGTAAGGATGAAGTGTGGGGGGAGCCAGGCCGCTGCCAGTGACCACAGAAGCTTAGAGCTGGTTACATTTAGGAGCAAATTGGGCATCAACACTCCCCAGGCAATCTATGAGACATCAGAGCCTGGGAAGGCCTCACTTTTGGGTTAAGAAATGGTTTCTTTTCTTTTTCTTCATAAGTTCCCTTTAGTATCATGGCGTAAGACGCATTTTAACATGTTTACACAACATACCCAACATATAGCTGAACGCATGATGTTTGTAGTGCTCCCGAATACATCTAGTGGCAGTAATTCACTGCAAACTGCATTTGCTCAGCTATACGCTGGACGAAGGTGTTATAGATCAGCCTCAAAGACACTGTTCTGGAAGAGGAGGGGAATGCTTCTGGCTATCTAGGTAGATTTTATTAAGGGTTTAATGCGTTAAAAACATTTAAAATGTTATTTCTCATGTCTGTTTTTAGGAACGGTGTAAGAAGATAGAAATAAGTGTACAAGTGGATTAGGAGAATTTGGTATCAGCGTCTACATCGGCGTGAAGAACATTTTTGATCATTTTTGATGGAAAAAGTCAATCTAACCTCCGGCTTTATTCTTCTGTGCTTCTCAGACCTTCACTACAACCAAGCTGCTCTCTTCGCCACCATTCTGATCATATACGTCCTCACATGGACTGGTAACTTACTTTTAATAACTTCTATTAATTTTTCTCCACAGTTGCACACACCTATGTACTTTTTCTTGGGGAACCTGTCAGCAGTGGACATCTCTTTCTCTACAGTGTCAGTTCCCAAGCTCCTATCCGGCATTCTTCATAGAGGAGCCTCCATCTCGTTCCATGGCTGTTTCCTGCAGATGTACTTCTTTGTGTTTCTGGGCACCACTGAGACTTTCCTTCTGTCAGTCATGGCGTTTGATCGATATTTGGCCGTTTGTTTCCCCTTACGCTACATATTGTTAATGAATGATAAGGTTATGTTCATACTGAATGGTAGTTGCTGGGTGGCAGGATCTCTACAATCATTGTTGTACACCTATAGTATATCACAACTAACCTACTGTGAGGACAGACTGATCCCTCACTTCCTATGTGATGTGGCACCCCTCATCAAGCTGTCTTGCTCCAGTACAATGCTAGTTGAGCTTGTTATATACAGCGAAGGTTACATGATTGCTACCATTCCATTTCTTTTCATACTCAACTCCTATGTGCTCATTGCAAGAGCTATACTGAAGATGAAGAGCAGAAGCAGCCGAAGCAAAACCTTTTCCTCCTGCTCTTCTCATCTCACGGTCATTTGTCTGTTCTATGGCAGCAGCATCTTCATTTACTTGCGCCCACCATCAAACTACTCCTCCAAGTATGATCGCATTGTCAGCATGGCTTACATCATCATCACACCTATGCTGAATGCTTTTATTTACAGCCTAAGGAACCAAGATGTGAAACAGGCTCTGAAGAAACTTATCATGCAATGACTTTCACACAAAGAACCCTTCTGCTCATGTTTTGTGATACTGTGACCGGCAATTACAACAAGGTCAGGAATGATTGTTGAACGGGAAGACCTGGCTCACGATTGGCATTCCAATTCATCCCAAAGGTGTTTAGTAGGGATGCACCAATACCGATACTAGTATTTGGTACTCGCCCAAACAGGCCCGGCGCTACCGCAAGGCAAGTAAGGCGGCCGCCTTACAGCGCTGCAGGGTGAGGGCGGAAAAAACAGGGCATTTTAGCTGGCCGGCGACTGCCTGAGGATCCCGACACGCGCGGCACCTCAGGCAGTCGCCGGCCAGCTAAACAGCTAAATTAGGACC